TTGATAATCAGACAAAAGACTGAAATTGTGAAGAATTTCATTTTGTTTGGATCTACAATCAATGCTCATTGAGGCGGCAGTCAAAAGAGTTCAAACGATTCGTTGCATTGGGTAAATCTTCTCCCCAAGACCTCTTTAAAGAATTGAAAAACAAGGAGGTTCCTTTGAAGACTACAGTGTACCTGACCCAAGGCATGTACTTGGATTCCCCTCATATGTATATGAAAATTGGGCATAGGATAAGGAAGATCAAAGAAAAATAATTGCATTTGAATTATGATGCTGGAGAAGAATGTCGGAAATACTAAGAACTGCCAAAAGAACAAACACAATTGTTTTGGAAGAAGTACAGCCAGAGAATGCTCCTTAGAAGCAAGGATGGACAGGCTTTGTCTCATGTACTTCAGACATGTTGTCAGGAGAAGCCAGTCCCTGGAAAAGGACATCAAGCAGAGGGACAGCAAGAAAGAGCAAGACCCCCAACAAGGTAGATTGCCACCGTGGTGCTGTGTTAGTCTGTGAAAACTAGGGAAACAAATCCACAGAAACTCATATGTATAAGAGAGAGTTTTATATAAAGGGTAAGTGTACATTCAGAAAGCATCCCAACCCCATCCCAAGTCTATATAAGTCTGACACTGATCTACAAAGTCCTCCTCAAACTCACAAAATGCACGCAATGATGCCAAATGCAGGAAGATCACAGGCCAGTGGGTAGAAATTCTTTTAATCCAGGCCATGTAAGTATCTCAGCACTGGCAGGGGTCTCCACCGGGCTATTCCAGCACCCAGGGCTGCATCAGGGTAAGTCCATGTGGCTTCTCCTCTGGGATGTCTTGTAGGAAGTGAGCCTTGCAAGTTGAAGCAGGGAACTGGCTAAGGCAGCTGCACCCTGGTCCGACCATCAAAAAACAAGAGACCCAAGAACTAAAAAGACAAGGCTCACCGAGCCATTTATCTCTTCTCCCTTCAATTCATCCCACATGTGTTTATTGGCCAGGTGGGCACAATAAACCTTACCTATCTCAGGTGCCAACAGTGAGCTCCAACGTAACAACCATTGAGAGGATGGCATAGGACCAGGCGGTGTGTTTCATTCTTTGTCTATGGGTTACTATGAATTGGAACCAACTCAACACAACACAACCACGTTGCCAAGCCTGATCTCCTTTTCTAAGGACTGTTCTCTCATGATTGCATGTCCAAAGTACACCAGATACACCAGACAAAATCTCACCATCTTCACTTCTAACGAACACTAGCTGTACTCCCTGGTGTTTTCAATATTCTTCATCAGCGCTCTCATTCCAGTGCATTCATTCTTTCAGTATTCCTTCTGCTGGTCCAGCTTTCACATGCAGATGAGGAGGTTGAAAATACGGTGGTTTGGATGGGCCACACCTTAGTCCTCAAAGTGACTTCTTTCCTCCTGAAAGAGGGCCACGGCAGCAGATATGCCCAATGCAATAGGCCTTTGGAACTGGGCTTTAGAATCACTCCGACCTACCTAGGCCACTCTCTACGTGAGTGCCTTTAGGAGCACACCAGTAGATAGTTCTGCATTTCACTGTTAGAATTTATCATTGTGGCTTCTTTTGCAAACTTAATATTGTTTTTGAAGAATGAGGCTTCATCTTGTTCGCATTTAAATGACTGGTTCCCATCGAAGTTAATGGATCAGATCTGACTAGGTAAGTAAGAAAGTCACTTTGGGAGGATCATTTGTAGCTTTTTCAGTCCCATTTAATGAGCTGGAAAAGTAATTTACAAAGTTTAATGTAGAGGCTGGAAAAAAATTATTCCAACCCCCCCAAACACTATGCCTTGAGACCCTAGCTTATTCACCTTGTGGGTTTTGGTCCATTGTCCTCTCTAATAATCCATTCTGATCTCATGAAGCTGCAGTTGGAGAAAAAGCTTCATATGAGAACAGTAAGCTCAAGCCAGGTTTTTTGCTTCTTTTCCTCCTAACCCCATAATGGAGGGGATTAAACCAGGAAGTCATTCACATTCTAGTCTAAATAGCTTTGTAGCGGCTTTCTTCCGCCTAGAAAAAGTAGGTTTTTTATTTGGAATGTTGGACGTGGTCATTAAAAACTCAAGGTTCATCTGTGTGCAATGAGTTTTTCCTGGGAGAGCTTGCAAGAAGATGGGAACAAAGGGCATTGCAATGGTCACCGTCGGCAGTATAATGGGCTGGCTATAAAATGTTTTCTGAAGGATATTGGTGAGAGTTGCGCATCACTGATGTCATCGATGTCCCTAGGTTGTAATTTGGAAAACATTGAATTGACAGATGCTGTGTTATGTAGGAGGCGGCGCTCTGGTGGTGGAGTGGGTTATGAGTTGGGCTGTTAACTGCAAGGTTAGCAGTGTGAAACCACCAGCTGCTTCTCAGGTGAAAGGTGAGGCTTCCTATGCCAGTAAGAGTTCGAGTCTCAGAAAGCCGCAGGGCAGCTCCAGCCTGCCCTATGGGGTTGCTCTGCGTGAACCTGACCTGACTACGGTGAGCTTGGTTTGTTTCTGTTTCTGTCTGGGGGAGGTGGGGTGGGTTGGTAGCATCATGGGCTAAGGGCTAAAAATCAGGCACATATGCAAATGTGATGCTTCCTCATTAGTGTGGCAAACACTTTATAATTACTCATTTGCTGAAACCTCAGAACAACCTCCTATCGTAGGCACTATTATTTTCCCATTTATTAACCCATTTTTGAAAAACTGAGATACAAAAAGATGAACGGGCTGGCCCACAACTAGTACCCTGTGGAGCTGGGATTGGACTCCGGGCACGCTTTGGACCCGGGTCAGCACGGTTTGTCTGAGACACTGCCTTTCTCCACCAGGGAACAAAAGCGCAGAGATTATGTCATGTCTCAAGTTGCACAGACCCTCAGGGCACAGCTGGCACTGCGACTCAGATCATCAAGTGTGTCACTTATAAGATGCAGCCCAATCAGCACACCTTACCAAGGATCACGCATTCCTAATACATTGGTCATGGGAGTTAGCTTAAAGCAAAAACATGTTTTCTATGATTCAAAACGGACACAATTATGTGACACACATTATTTCATAGCCATCCTGGAGTCAATACACGGTAGCTACAAGATTCCCACCCACTATGACACCAGTTAACCAATAGTTTGTTTCTAACCCCTACAATTTTGTCCAAGGGAAGAATTTGTGTACCAGAGGGCACAATAATGAGTCCATAAAATGAACATTGAAACCACCCCCTGACAATTTGAGACTTTTCATGACTCAGAATTAATATGCATAGAAGAGTTTATAGCATTTGCAGAGATACTGCCCAAAATGATAAATAAAATATATAACAGGATCAAGAAAAACTACATTGGGAATTTGAGGCACCCTCCGGGGAACATCAGACAGCTTTCCTGCCAATCTAATACAATTAAGACCATTAAAAATTCAGACATTTCTGGTATTAAAGTTTGAGTTAATCATTGATGGAAAGAATCTTGGCTAGTTAACTGGAGAGCAATAATAACATGGAATGGTAGATGGGAAAAGAAGTGATAAATAACAATGACAATCTCATAATTACTCAAGAACAGAAGAGTGTACAACCGTGCATGTGTGTTAATAAATTATTTCCCCTAAAAAAGTGTTAATAAATTATTACCCCTAAAAAAAAAGAAAGAAAGAAAGAAAAAGCCACTCACGTCTGCTCCTACTACGTCAATGTAGCTTTCACCTGGCAAAGGAATTGGCTTCATCGTTTCTTTAGCTTGCTATCTCTGTTGGGTGTATTTTGGAGAAGATGCCGCCTGGTGGCCTGTGATGAACTGATTACATCATCGCTTAATTGCTTGTCAGTGTCAAAGACAATGTTAGCTTCATGGAGAGCAGCCCTTTTTAATCTTTCATAGGCACATGGCTCACTCACCAAAAGTTCCTGTTTAAATGCAAATTCGGATCCCCTAGGTCTCTAAGCCAAAAAACGCACCATCATCCAGTCAATTCTGACTCCTCGGCCCGGATGGGATGGAACAGAACCGCCCTTTGGATTTCCAAGGCTTTGCATTTTTAAAGGAGCAGAAAACCTCATCTTCTTTCCCCCAAAGCAGCCGGCGGTTTCAAACTGCTGGCCTTGTGGGTAGGAGGCCAACACGTAACCAGCTACACCAACAGGACACCTTTCAGTGCGCCCGGCTGCACCTGAGGGTCTATATTCCTAGCCAGTGCGCCAGTGCTCCGGATGCTCCTGGAACATGGTCCGTGCCTAAGGCAGCAATGCTAGCGCATAGAACTCTTTTCAAATCATGTGTCAGCCTTTATCGCAAGGGCCCAAGGGTCACATGTATCGAAGTACACACATGTGAGATAAGGTCCAAATGCACTGGACCTTATTGGCCATGTGGTCCAACCGTTCAGCGGAAGGTTGAATCTGCTCTCCTACTTGCCAGGTCATCTCCATCCCAAATGACCTGCAGTGCGTGGAACCCAATAGTCGGATCCCGCGAAATCCCACAGGAGTGACTGCATCACAGTCTCCGAGAAAGAGAAGGTGTGGTCATGTCTCACACCTGCTTGGATAGGCACCTGCCTGGAGAGGGCATCTTTCAGAGCCTTTGGACATTTATTCAAAGCCTACCTTTTTCATTTTGGAAAAGACACCAAAATGCGCTCTGCCAGAGAACCAGCTGGGAGTGCTTATCCCCCCCACCCCCACCTTTGCCTCCCACAGTGAAATAAAGACTTCCACGCAGACTGGCAGGTGAGAAACGAGGGCAGCTGTTTGGCAGCCCAGCAGCTTCTTGGCTGCACTTGTGAAACGTGCCGGGGCTCCTGAGACCATAGACGTCCTCAGGATCAGGGATCCCCCAGACCCTGCGGTGCTTCCTCCCACCGTGATCTTGCAAGCCGAGCCAGAGATACGCCCACTGCTGTGTCTGGCGATTGGGGGGTGCCGACATCGCCCTCCTGGCCTCCCTTTGCTCAGGCCCTTGTGTGATGGTTCCTGTTTTCTGTTCCAGGTGCCAGGGGAGAGTGAGCAGCAGTGGAAGCCAGCCCTGGTCGTGCTGACTGAGAAAGACCTTTTAATCTATGACAGCATGCCCCGGAGGAAGGAGGCCTGGTTCAGCCCAGTCCACACATACCCACTTCTTGCCACCAGGTAGCAATGGCCTTGTGCTTGGACGGGGTGTGTTTGCAGTTTGATTTGAAGTGATTGCAGTTACTTCAGTGCCTTATGTTCTTTGGGGTTTTTTAAATCATTTTATTGGGGGCTCCTACAACTCTTATCCCAATCCATACATCCATTGTGTCAAGCACATTTGTACATTTGTTGCCATCATCATTCTCAAAACATTTGCTTACTACTTGAGTCCTTGGAATCAGCTCCTCATTTCCCCCCTCCCTCCCCAATCCCCTCTCCCTCATGGACCCTTGATAATTTATAAATTATTATTATTTTGTCATAGCTTACACTGTCCCACGTCTCCTTTCACCCACTTTTCTGTTGTACGTCCCCCAGGGAGGAGGTTATATGTAGATCCTTGTAATCAGTTCACTCTTTCTACCCCATCCTCCCTCCACCCTCCTGGTATCGCCGCTCTTACCATTGATCCTGAAGGGATCATCTGTCCTGGATTCCCTGTGCTTCGGGTTCCTATCTGTACCAGTGTACATCCTTCCGTCCAGCTGGATTTGTAAGGTAGAACTGGGATCATGATAGTGGGTGGGTGTGGGAGGGAGCATTTAAGAACTAGAGGAAAGTTATATGTTTCGTCATTGCTACCCTGCCCCCTGACTGGCTTGTCTCCTCCCTGCGACCCTTCCATAAGGGGTGTCCAGTTACTGTTCACAGTTTCACTGGAGTCAGAGGGTTCTCGTCGCTCTAAGCCGCCATGGAGGTGGAGATTGCCTCTGGCTGAGGGTGACGATGCCCAGTCCTGCACCACCCCTGCCATCCCTTGCAGGTCAGAGCGGTGTGAAACAGAGAGCAGTCCCTGGCTGGTTTTCAGAAGGAGAGGCACAGGCTGGTCTGGGTTCTTCTTCCCCTGGCTGAACTTAGAGGAGGTCAGAGGCCACCACCTCCGCATCATTCTTGCAGGTTTCCGGGGCTGTGAGCTTCACGGAAGCTGATCACTGGGCCTTCCACCGAGCTGCTGCAGGGATTCAAAGGGGGCAACACCCTTTAGGTTAGCAGCCGGGCACTGAGCTGCTGTGTTCCCAGACCGCCTTGGTGGGTCTTCAGAACCAAAGAAATGGAATAAAAGCTCAGGGTTCACAGTTTAATCAAAAAGAAGGCACAGAAATACTAATTCCCTTCCAAGTCACTGCCTGTACCCCGAATGACCCAGCCTGACCCCTGAACTGCAGGAAGAAAACTTGTTATATGGGGAGATCAGCTATGTGAGCATTGATAACATTATTACCCATGATCATTACCTTGGTCTCCAGCTGGCAGCCTGAGAGACACAGTACGTTCACGGTGTTAAGCTCATGTGGATACTCATTCTTGCTTCAGCCCCTGATCGGGAAAGCCACTTGCTGCTTGCTCTAAGCAGCTGCCTGGAAAGACAGGGGTGTGGGGTCCCATCTCCGTGTCCCTCCTACCAGATGGCGTACAACCCAGGCTCATTGCTCCGCCCCTCTCCTTTCAAGCCCTCTTCTGTTAAAGAACTCAGCCAGTGTTGTCTCTAAGCCTCACGGAGGAGATAGACTTGGGTGGCATTCGTCTGAAAAGACCCTTTGGCTTGTCCAGCAGCCACCCTGGTTTGCTTGCCCTGCTCATGGTCAGCGTCCCTCCCAGTACAGCAGGTGCACTGAGTAAAGGACAATGTGGAAAACAAGCACACCGGGAGGGGAAAATCTGGGGCCCTTGCTCATGCAATGAGGTCGGGGAGATGGAGTCCCTTTCTACCTGCAGGCTGGGCTTCCAAAGGAATGGTTATGGAAGGCAAGATTCACCTAACTGAAAAGCTATTCTGTCCTTGTAGAAGGTGCAGTGGTTCTCAACCTTCCTAATGCCATGACCTTTCATACAGTTCCTCATGTGGTGGTGACCCCCAACCATAAAATAATTTTCATTACTTCTTCATCACTGTCATTTTGCTACTATTATGAATTGGGCGACTCCTGTGAAAGGGTCGTTCGACCCCCAAAGGGGTCATGACCCACAGATTGAGAACCACTGGGGTAGGGGTTCCACATTGGTCTGTAATCCGCATGCTTAGCAGTTCAAAACCATGAGCCACTCCCTGGGACTCAGGCATTCCCATGGTTGTGAAGATGGCCCTGGACTACACATCCTTTCCTGTTCTTCTCCATGGGTTTTCCAAAACTTGGAGCCAACTCTGGCAACTAATAAAGATAATAATTTTGTGTAGACTTGCTGATAACAGCTTCCTCCAGAGAGTTTTCTTACTCATCCTCAACCTTCAGATAGAAAATATGACGAGCAGGGAGTGAGTGAGTTGCTGGGCACTGAGGTCAGTTGGCATGATGTTATTCACAAAGACAAGGTTCTACATCCTACTTCGGTGAGCTGTGATCAGCATCTTAAAAGCTCACCGTTGGGTACCATTGGACTCATAGCTGCCCTGTGTGTAACAGAGCAAAGCACCTCCTGGTCCTTCCCATCCTCTCAACTGTTCCTATGTTTGAGCTCCCTGTTGTAGCCAATGGGCTGATCCTCTTGCTGAGGGCCTCCCTCGTTCTCCCTGACCCTCTACTTGCCTAAGCATGTTGTCCTTCTCAGGGACGGGCCTCTCCTGACAACATGTCCAAAATATATACGATGAAGTCTCACCATCCTTGCTTCTAAGGAGCATTCTGGCTGTACTTCTCCCAAGATAGACTTGTTTGTTCTTTTGGCAGTCTATGAGACTTTCAATATTCTAAAAGCTCATTTGCAGATATCTAAGGTACAACCATTGGTATTGACCCATCTCGAGATAAGAAGAGTGATGAAAATTGAAAAGCACATGTAAACTATTTTAGCCAATAGACTGCTATTGGTGCCTATACCACCCAAACACCAGTCATCACAACCCTGAGACCTGAAGCATTAGATAGTGCCCAGCCACCACTACCAACTACTCTGAAGGAGACCACATTAGAAGATCCTGGACAAGGGGAAGAAAAATGTGGAACGAAACTCATAACAGAGGCCAGTCTTACTGGTCAATTAGAGACTGGTGGAACCCCAAAAATATCACCCTTAGCTACCTTTTAGGTCCGGAAATGAACTCACCCAAGTGGCTCAGTTTTCAGCCAAACAATAAACAAAATGAACATATTCACTGTGATGGGGTCAATTCCAACTCACAGCAATTCTGTAGGACAGGTTAGGACTGCCCTGTGCGTTTCCAAGACAGTACCTCTTTAATAGAAAGCCTGATGTTTCTACATGGTTGATGGTTTCAAACTGATGACCTTGCGGTTAGTGGCCCAACTCGCCACCCCTATACCACCAGGGCTCCTAGCCACACAACAGACAGGTTTATGAAAGGAACAGTAACACTAGGGAAGGTATGCACATCGTAGAATCATCAGCCAATTAGGATCAAATGGATGGCATTTACCCAAGAACAAAGTTCAGAATGGTTTGGAAAGCGGGAGAAATGGGAACCAGAAACAGGGGACGACGTGGAACGAAGGATGGTACCTGGGAGGAATTGCAGTGCGTGAGATGAAAACAATGTCTCTGAATTACTGGATGCAAAATTGAGGCTGCGTTCTGAAAACCGTCACCCAATTCACAAGAAAAAGTTAAAACAGAAAAAAGATGAAACTACTGAAAAAAATTTTTTTGTCCCAAGCATTGCCAATTCTGTTTAGGAAGGTGGTAAGAATCATGAGCCTGATAACTCTCCCACTCAAAGCAAAGCCTGATTAGACGTATGCAAAAATCCAGTGAATGTGCTAATTAACTGTGGGCTGATTATTTAGATTTCAAATAATTCTTTGAGAAAGAATCCACCACCCGATATTTTTAAAAATAGAAAAATGGACATCTTAACACAGTTAAAATAGGATTGAATTTCAGATCAGATTTATAATAAAGATTCAAAGCTTAGAGGGTTTGTCTTGCGGCACCATGATTTCTTTCAACATTACTCAGTGTCCTTGGGTGACTCTGTAGTTCGGGGTGTGGCACACTATGGCTGGTGGGCCACACATGGCCCACTCTGTTTTGGTACAGCGGGTGAGCTAAGAATGGCTTTGCTATTTTTAAATAAAAAGGAATCATTTGAAAGCCAGAAATGATAAGAAATGTTAACTTCAGGTTCCTTAATAAAGTTTTATTGAAACATAGCCAGACTCTTCATTCACATATGACTGATGCTGCTTTAGCACACAATGCGGAGTTGAATCGTTGCAACAGATTGAGTAGTTCCCTTGGGTAAAATATTTGACTTGTGACCCTTGGAGGAAAAATATCTGTAAACTCATGATCTAGTTAAATGGGAAAGAGATGAGGCTGTTTGCTCCCATAAAGATTTGAGACCTGGAAATCCTGTTTAGGGCCTCTAGGAGTGGGCTTTGATGAGATGGCAGTGGGCTCTGGGTCTGCTTCTTTATTTAATTTAAAGGAGCTCTGGTTCCACAGTGGCTAAGCACTCAGCCGCTCACCAAAAAGTCCAGGGTTCAGATCCACCCGCCGTTCCAGCCCAGGGTTCAGATCCACCCGCCGTTCCATGGAGCCAGATGTGGTCATCGGCTTCCAGAAATGGCCTCCAGCTGTGGCACTCCCGTGGGACAGTCCTGCTCTGTGGGTGGCCAGCGTGAGAAACGGCTCGATGGCAGTGTTTGTTTCTTGGAGGGCAGCAACTCCTCATTTGTGGTGTGTCACCGTCTTGCCGCTTCTCTTATTGTTGCTGTGTTTATAAAAGCACGTTGACTAATTTTTTAAAAACAATCATCACACTGAAAACTAGGACAACGTAAAATCTATTGGTCATGAAAAAACTTTCAGAATAACTGTTGGGAGAAAAAAACACCCCCCAAATTAGGAAGCAAGCAACAAAAAGATGTCAAAGAGCATCATCTCTACCAAAAATGGGTTGGGGGCTGGGGATCAACTTTATTGACAGATGGTGGAATTGTTGTCAGGTGTGGTCAAGTTGACTCTCCACTCCCAGTAACCCCGTGTGACAGAGTAGAACT